CCTTCTGGAGGGTGGCTACTTTTGTTCCTCATGGTCCCTGTGTGTGCTTTAAGGTAGTCATCACTCCAAGCTCGCTCCTGTGATGGACTACAATCTTATGTTTAGTTTACTAATTTGTATTGAGAAATTGCACAAGTTTTGCTGATGGGCAAATAGACACTGGTCAGTTTCATGTGTCCAGTGAATGCCTGTGCCCTTTAATGACAAATGTTGACTTTTGGTTCCCATTGGAAGGGCCATAAGAATTTCACTGTGAAATGAAAACAGAACATGGTCCCCGGGTTACCCCGTCATTTCATGTCTATTTTTACAAACTGCATTTTGGGAAGGTACAGATATATGTGACGCTGAACAGAAAAGAGGTTAAAAAAAAAGGTATGTCGGTCTATGTACTGTATGTGAAAACAGCCCTATGACCACAAATTGGATATAAATCCAATAGCAGAGGAATCGGAGGACTGAAAATCAGTCTGACAAGAGTATGTTGCCTGTGATACAAAATATATTGTGTGGAATTTACTAAGACTGGAGCAGGCAGAATCTGGAACAGCAGTGCATGGCACCCAATGAGCTTATTGCTTTCATTTTAAAAGCTTAACTGAACAAGCAGAAAATAGGAGCGAATTGGTTACTATGCATAGCTGCTCCAGATTTTGTTCCAGTTTTAGTAAATCCCCTGTATTGTGTATAAGTGCCAAAAAGTGTACAGATTATAAATGTAGCCTCAAATTCTATATATTTCACAGCTCCTATCAGGATGATCACATGTGTGTTGAGAATACACTATTGTGGTCATGTCCCCCATCGTGCCTCTAGCACCATCTCTTCTTTTGGCCATGGACACAAACCCTCGAGTTGTACCCACAGTTTCTGCATAGGTGTCTTTTAAGCTAATTTGAAACAATGTTGGGATCACCCAGGTTGTGGGTTTGTAAAAGTCCAGCAATAAAGGTCCTGTTTGTTCGAAATCAGTCAGGCTGGCCATGTCACTCACATTAAACATTGTGGCTGTCTACTACAATGGTACAAAAATAAAAGACTGACTGAGAGACGACTGCAGCGTATGCATGACTGGATTTAGCAGCACCATAGTGGGGTGGCACCTGGATTTCTTGCTGGTGCCATTCCTAAAATGGCTACCCAGCAACACAAGATAGTGAAGGACTCAGTGGTGTTTCTAGGGCTCCAAAAGACCTGGGCAGCCTTGTACACTCTGAGGAGAGTTACACATGCATAACATGCCATGGTGTATGGTTAAATAAAACCTGAGCCTACTCTGCCCTATGTCAAGAGCGCAAGGGTCAGGGGTAAGTAAGTAGTGTCCCAAAGTTGAGACAACCTTCAGTGGGTGGGAACAGAATATTTGGCGCTGCAGTCACACAGAGCATCCAGAGAAACTTAGTAATTGTCACATGGGTGCTACAAGAAGCCCAGTGATTGGTGCAAGTCTTTGAATTCTCATCCTCCCTAATGTTCTGCCCAAATCCCTGCCAACCTCTCTACTTTGCCAGCTTCTCAGGTGCATGTGACATTAAGGCATTGTGGGAGATGACTTGGATTGAGATGGCACAGAAGCACAATATAAAGCAAAAGCTGCTACTCGGAAGACCCAGGGATATGCAGTGTTTTTACAATAAGAAAATATTTTGAAACATAATAGCAAAGCCTTTTTATTTATTCCACAATGCTTGTTCTGAATGCCTAATGTGATGCTGGTGCCTTTTTAGATCTCCTTTATGTAATATACCTACAGTTTATATCTACAGAGACCTGAGAAGAAAAATAATAATTATAGAAATTAATTTGCTAAGTATAGGGTGCAGCAGGCCACATGCTGGTGAATTAATGTAATTGTTGTTAAACTCGTGTTAATATTTGTTTTTCAAGTAAACAATCCAGATTGAAAAGCCAGTGTGTGGATAAGCTCAAAATGGCTTGCACTTGGACTAATAAATGTACTCAATAGGCAGAGACACATGAGAGTTGAGTGGGCAAAATGAGAAATTCCTTTTTTATTTTCCACTTCTCTTTTATTTTCTCTCCCCTGCTATTCATCTGTAATTTCAGATATTTACTTTAATCCCTTTCTTGTTTACCAGTTTCACAATTTCAGACTCCCACTACATTCTGTATCCAGGAATATTGCATTTATTTGTGGTTGTATTCTGTAATCAAATGGTTATTTGACATGAATGTGATATTGGCTTGTCAGCGTTAGGTGCAGTGTGTGACACTTTATAGCTCTCAGGGTATGACATTCTCTTTTGCAAGGGTGAAAAATGGCTTGCATAATAAATCCTCCCAGTTTCATAACTTTCACGTGGCAGGAGACCTTTAATACATATATGGCCCTTGAGATTTTACAACTTTAGCACAGCTGCAATAGCGCTAATATGTAACTTAATAGGCAAATAGGCTGTTCACTTTGCAGGGACTTTTCCCTTAGCTTAGTGAATGTGCTGGAAATTTCCTTTGCAAAGAATACCTAATCACCAGCAAGGAACATTAAAAATAACAGTATTTGTGCTTGCTTAAGTGATGTCAGCAACTCTTCAGCTCACTAACTAATCTAAACTCCTTTGTAAATTTTAAAATTCCCTTGAAAGGCCTGTTTGCCTTTAGTAAACCATTCCCATTGACTTTATTTGCCCTACTGGTATTGTATCTGTTTCTAACTGGTAAATCATGTACAGACTTTTGAGTGAAGTATTGCTTCTATGAGCAAAGTTCCTAATACCTACATTGATGGCAAACTGCTCCCATTATCCATTTTGATTTTGACATACACCAGGCATATATGTTATATCTTCAAAGACAGCTAATAGCATACAAGCCCCCTGTCATGTTTATTCCAGAACGTGTGGCCTTTATCATTGAAAGATGCTTGAAAATAAACCCCTCCACCCATTTACTACTTATTTTAAATAAAACGAGCCCTATCTCTCCTTTTCTGAAGGTTTTCATTTATCCAGGTCATAGTATAGCTAGTAGTAGTTGGTCACATTTATTTGGACTTGTTCAGTAATGTTGAAGATGTTTTGCTGCTTCTCCAAGCAGCCTTCTTAGTTCTAATGTGTGTTAGAGACCATACCCCAAGATTGAAGAAAATAGGTCACCAGCACTCCATAAGTTAAAATGAATGAGTCCTTTTAATGGACAATGATGTCACAGAAATCCAACATGAGCTCATGTTGGATTTCTGTGACATCATTGTCCATTAAAAGGACTCATTCATTTTAACTTATGGAGTGCTGGTGACCTATTTTCTTCAATCTCGTGTTTTGCACGGTGCCATCCGTGAAGTTACTTCGAGCACCATTTATTTGATTGTTGGCCGGGACTGCTGAAAGGTGTGCGGAGGGCACCTCCATCAATTGCAGAGACCATACCCCAACATTTATCAACACACAGGTAATTCATTTACCTTAATCCATTTGCTATGCAATGTTGATTGTCTTGAACATGATGGGAGGCGTTAAAGTTTGAAACCACCCTTTCTATTTGCAGAATCCATTTCCACGGTGCCCAAAAGCTTGGGGCATGTTTTGAGTTACATTGCTGTGCATGTGAATGGTTGTGAAATCCCTGGCTTAGAAAGGTTAAAATGCCATACATGTTAGTGATAGATGATGCTGAAGGTTTCTGTCCCTGTTTTGAAACGGTATTAGAGTCACCATTTGCATCAAACTGTAACAACCATCTCTAAACAAGGTTGGGCCCTCAACACCTTCTGTAACCCACAATGAATGCAGTTAAAACACTGCTACCCCATCAGTTTCACAATTCGCGCCTATAGCTTTGTATCTCAAATGATTTAACAGCCATAAGAAATAATCCCTTTGTTAAAACTGAATTCCAGACACACATCTAAAACACATATGAAATACAAACTGTATTTGAGAGCTGTATTACCTGCCAAAGGATTTGTAGTTCTGTGCACCCAGTCCCAATATTTACACAGCTATTTGCACATCGCACAGCACGGTCTTGCAGGGCAGGAGAACTGACAGCGAAAGAAGAAGCAGTGCACTGATGAGCTCATCACTTAGTAGCTATGCTACTCTTCTCCCATCACCATGCTCCTTGCACTGCTAGCACAACTGATATGCTCCTTGCTCTGTTTCTTCCCCTCCTAGTCTGAGCGCTGATACCAAGTAAAATGTATGCACTTACACTGCTTTCTGATTAAAAAATAAATGCAATTATGTATGAGTGAATACAGAGCTGCATTCATTTGGGTCTTTTCTATCTGCCTGGAATTCAGGTTAATAAAAAAATAATAAAGCAATGTATGTTTTAACATATATTGCAAGGCTATAGTCAGATCATGCTGACTGGTGAAATTTTTGACTGACTGGTGAGACACTGCCAAATTTTTCAAGCCCTGTGTATATATATATATATAGTCTCAGATGTTTACGGAGTGTTGTTAAAAGAAGAGGGGATGCTACACCATGGTAAACATGGCCCTGTCCCAACTTTTTTTTAAATGCGTTGCGGCAATCAATTTTAACATTACCTTATTTTTTTCTAAAACTGGCACATTTTCTCAGTTTAAACTTTGGATATGTTTTCTATTTTCTATTGTGAATAAAATATGGGTTTATGAGATTTGCATATCATTGCATTCTGTTTTTATGTAGATTTTACACTGCGTCTCAACCTTTTTGGAATTGGGATTGTATGTGTGATGTACTGTATGCTTACTACCCCAATAAAAAGATAAAAAAATGATTATACCCACGGCACATGGAACATTATCCTAAAGAATAAGTTGTAAAAAGGTTTTAAGTAAAATTACAAAATAATTTGGCATACCAGATGTATTTGACACCCAAGGATGGATCATTTAACATTGGTGCATTAAATCTACTCTTGCATTTCTATCAATTGTTAAGCAAAGAGAATTATTTTAGACAGAGTAGAGTATAGCTAAACTAAAATGTGTATTTAATAAAATAGAATGCTAAAATATTGTTCTTTTGTGTTACTCAATGCAGGTTATCAAAGAACGATTCACGCCAATCTCAGCCCTATTCAAAGACTGCAGAACAACAGCCTTCTGTAAATGCTTTCAAAGACACAACTCGTGATGAATAGGAGAAAAATCTTAAATCACATCTTCATTAGGCCATTTTGTTTATTGTTAATTGCACTTTGGATCCACTGTTGAGGTTTCTTCCACTTAGCACATACCCTTTTGCCTATGCAGAGGGTTAGGACTGCTTTATGGACTGTTACAAGAAAAATGTTTACTTTGGGTGCTTTATTGCAAATGTATATTGTTTGCTGCATGAATCCTGGTTTAGTTTAATATATGCAGACTACTTTTCTTATTTATTTTTCATTTAGAATCACATACAACTGAACATGTTAACAAGGCTTTACACATTTAACTATACTAATCTAAACAATTTCCTGTTAAATCTATTTGTTTTACTCTTGTGTTTAAAAATGTTGGTTTGATTCCATTGCTAAAGTTAAATTCTTTAGCATACCATTCTAAATAATAAAGTTGCAAAACAAATGGAGGAATGTACTGAATGAAAATCAACTCTTGTAGATGTCACAAGTCTGTGTTTCGCTTTAACATCATCCATTCCATGTGTTTTCCTTCTCATTTAGTGTTTTCACTTAATTTAATCTGCTCTGTGTTCATCTCTATTTTCGATTGGCACAGCTGTCTGAGTTAAGTTGGTCATATACTATACGAATTTTGGCCTGTTGAACCGGATGAAATTTACACAGTGGGTGCCACTGTCTGCACCCTTTTCACCGGCATCCCTCGATCAGCTTATCGGAAAATCTTTGACCGCACAGAGTAGGCAGCTAATGAGCTGCCGGCTCTGTTCATGGATTCTGATGGGGAGATTCCTCAATCAACGCTCATAAGCCCACAGGTCCAACCTAGATAGTTTAGAGGATGTCACCAGCACACCACACGATTATAATCAGCAAGTGTTCATTTATTGACAATCGCTGTCTCTCATTGGCAAGCGCTTTCGGGGCCACACAGGGTTCCCTTCATCAGGCTCAGAGATATAAATGAACACTTGCTGATTATCATCGTGTGGTGTGCTGGTGACATCCTCTAAACTTAACAGTCAGGGAGACACATCACCTGTAAACAAAAACCAAGAGAACGCTTTCTAATGTGCGTTATCATTTATTGTAAGTAAATAAGAAACAATAAAAACCGATTTCCAAAGGTAAGGTGCAGGCAGCGTCTGAACAAAGGAGTCACAGAATAACTATCTGCAAGGCTGTTGAGATCGGTAAGATGAGATCAGCAAAGACACGATGGTTGTTCTGTCATCCAAGCCTCCACTGGCTGAACGTGTTTTCGGGAACACCAAAATAAACCATAGATAAACTTTTTAAGTTCATTACACTAACTCCCTCGTAAAATAGTTTACACTTTCAAATGATTTATAAAATTATATATTTAAATATACAACTAGGTCCATGAGAAGATTAAAAAGTAGGGATGTCCCGATACCATTTTTTCAAGAGCAATACGGACTAATGTTTATGTTTATAAAGTGCACTGCGCTATTCAATAATATAAACTATATAAAACATACACAAATATTTTTTTCCCCAAAACAACTTGTTTACACAAGTTGTTTTGGAAAAAAATACATGTAATAAAGCACAGCAGCTAGTAACACTTTAAGTAAGGAATATTTGTATATCCACAAGCGTGTACTTATAACATTTGTGCAATACAGACTAATGATTTTAACCAGTTGCCGTCTGCCCGTTGCAAGAAAACGGACGACGGCACAGTGGCATTGGCGGGTTGCCGTCTCCAGAATGACTGTTTCGCCCCCTCCCCTTCAATCCCGGGATCCGCTGCCCCATCTGCGGCCCAGGACTGGCTTGGGAGGGTGTCAGGAGGTAAGATGGGAGGGAGATCAGCATCTTCCTCCTTGCTGAGCTCCCTCCGTGCTGTAAATGCGGAAGTAATGTGTAAATACATCCCTTCCGCATTCACCTGTCAGTCATCTGGCTGCTATTGCCAGAGAGAAGAAGCTGATGAAGCAGATCTCTGCTTCATCAGCTTCTTTTGGGGCCCCCAGGTGACCGGGGTCCTAGAGACCCCTAATGTCTCCATAAAGAGGACCTGTCAGTGTCCCCCTTTATCCCCCTAAGTAATAGCAATGACATTAAGTGTAAAAAACCCATAAAAAGAGTTTTAAAAAAAGTCACATATAAAAAAAGTTTTTAAAAACCCCCAAAAATTCTTAAGTCCCCCACGTTTACGCACATATAAACGTAAATACGCGTCCGGTGCACCAGCGTGCGAAAACGACAATTGCGCTACACATGTTACATATCGCCGCAAATGTCGCAGTGAGAGCAATCATTTTAGGGCCATCAATCACTGATAACACTAAACTGATGAGCGGTAAAGGCTTTTAAAGCGTCGCCTATGGCTAATTTTGGGTATTATAGTTTTTTGAGGTTTCGCACTCGCACGCAATTTTAAGGCTTGACATGTTTGGTGTCTTTTTACCCGACATGACCCTGTCTTTTATATTTTACCAAAAATTGGGTAATAATAAATGTTTTATCATTTAATATAGGGGAAACAGTTTTTTTTTTACATTTGGTAATTTTTCCTTAATATAGTAAAAAATAAAAACCAAAGTGGTGATTAAATACCACCAAAAGAAAGCTCTATCTGTCCCCAAAAAATGGTATAAAATTAATTTCAGTACAGCGTTGCATGACGGAATAAACGTTAGCCAAAGTACCGCAGCTCTGAATACTGAAAAATAGCCTGGATGGGAAGGGGGTTTAAACACTGTGCACTTCAAGTGGTTAAGGTAGTTTCTTTATAGTTATGAAGTACTGTAACTCCATGATTATTCAGCAATGGAGAATGGCAACCAGCTATAGAGGACCACAAATCTCAGCAGTCCATGATTAGTCAGCAATGGAGAATGACAACCAGCAATGATGGATTGCTGAGATTTGTAGTCCTCTATAGCCGGTTGCCATTCCCTATTGCTCCGTATTCACTGATACCATCAATCCATGGTTCTACAGCAATTATACAGGGTTGTGTGCTGTCCCACCTGGGCTATGTTTGGGTGTCACCGGGGGGGGGGGGTTATTTAGGGGCCTGGAAATACACATTGTCCCCATGCCAATGAGGACAAGGGCCTCTTCCCCACAACCCTGGGCAGGGGGGCTCATCTGCATCTGGGTACCTCCTTTTCATGAAGGGGGCACCCAAATGCCACCCTCCCTTGTGAATGAGTAAAGGGTACTTGTACCCCTACATTTTAAAATTGAAATAGCCAATAGCAGGCTGGCTAATGCTCCACCCACTGCCTGATGTCATTCACAGAGGAGCGGACCTGTCCTCTCTTTTGTGGGAGCAATAGCCATCCTGCTATTGGCTATTTTAAATTGCAATAGCTCTGCCCCCTTCCTTCTGTCAATCAGCAGAGGAGCAGACCTGAGAGAGAAAGCACACTCCCAATGCCGAGGGCATGTGGCCTGGTATGGTGCAAGGGGGGTTCTCGCTTGTCCCCCCACTCTTCCTGCCTGCCAGGCTGCTGCCCAGAATAAGGGTCTGGTATGGGATTTTAGGGGGTACCCCACTTTTTTTTCTATTCTTTGACGTTGGGGTCCTCAAAATTCCTACCAGACCTAAAGGGTTTGGTATTGTCGTGGGACCCGCACGCTGCTTTTTTTTTCTTCTTACATAGGATTTCCCCTAACAATTCTATCAGACCTAAAGGTTCTGGTATGAATAGGGGAGGGGAACACCATGCTGTTTTTTAAAATTATTGTCTATTTTAATAGTTAAACACTTTTCTGTGACAGCTGTACGCTTCTTTGTTTACATTCGGGATACAGTCTGAATGTAGCAAAGAAGCTGAGAACTGTTACAGAATAACGCACAGATCTCAGCTTCTTTCTTTGTTTATTTTCCATAATATAATTCTGATGAATTAATAATGTGTGACCTGGACCTGGGTAATAGGTGCCACACCCCTAAAAAATTGATGGCAAAAAAAGAGAGAAAGGTGGGGTTTTTGAGCACCAAAATGACAACTCCAAAAACGATAGACCATAAAAAAATATATTTAATGTTTATGATTAAAATTGATTGATATAATTCATAAAAGCAACCAGCTAGTAAGATAGCTCCCTATGAGCTCACTCTATTGCTAATCCATCCATTGCAAATATACAGAACATGATTAGATTATATCACAGTACATGATTGGTTTGAAACATAATTCTAGATTACTTGGAAACGTGATAATATAAAAATCGAAGATAACATGATATATTTGAACAATTTGACCTCAGGAAACAGATGCCGGCCCCCTCAAGAAAGAGGCGGCAGCGCCCTAAATACTGCCCGCAGGGGAGATGGTTTCCCCTATCCCCCCAAAGGGAGTGCGGGCCTAGCAATTATCCCAGAGGGGGCCGCCGGACACACACCAGTCCATCATAGTATGTTAACATCTAAAGGATGAAACCCTCCCAAGGATGGGGATCATTATTAGATGTGGTATAAGCAATTAATGACATACAATGTACATGATAAAGAATAAATGACATCCAATGGAACAATGCCTATACACAAATTGCACACACGAATAGCAAGAGTTATATTAAGTTACATCATTAATAAATGGCATAACAATTGTTAAAGGAGGGGCAGAAAACATTTCCCACACATTGTAAACCAATTTAGTAACCATATCAGAGATATTTTGATCACATTGGACATGTCAATAACCAAAATATATAACAGTCAATTGGTTGGATAGTAAATTTAGGGTATATAAAGATGTTCTGAATTTGTGAGGACAAGTGAAGACAAAATATGAATTATTCCTTATAAATGATAAATCAATGCCCAAAAGGCACAAAACATTTCCCACACTTATGTTAGCCAATTTAGTGACTATTACAATATCCTTGACTGAACAGGGTCAAAGGATATTGCTAGGCACAAACATAATGAGTGTATCGACAACCAAAATTTAAAACAGTAAGTTAATTAGATAGTGTATTTAAAACGTATATGGATATTAAAAGGTTATGAAGACATGTAATTTGAGGGGATA